ATAAGTTGTCTAATAGTAGTTTATAAAAACATTTCCGTTTATGGATTATCAATGAATTTTCGGATGTTAGATAACTTATCTATATCACATACTATCTAATATTTTGATTTCTCAGTATTTTTGTTTCGATATTTATGGAATTAAGGTAATTAGCATGTAATTACAATGCACGAGGGGCGAGAATTGCGTAAGTGTTAACGTGCTCGATGAATACGATTACTAAGGACAGGGACACACTAGATGGAAAATATTGCATTGATGATGGGTACTATTATGAGTTTTAAGAGTTTGTAGCTTAAGCAACTGAACGGATCACGATGAAATTTGGCATAGATGTAGAGGATAGTCTGGAAGAAGTAATAGGCATACTTTTGTCTTTTTTAATTTGTAGCTAACGGAGACGCGGGCGAAGTAACATGCCAATAAAATAGATTAGCTTGCATGCCAGTTAATAAGAGAGGACGAGACGAAATATGTCAGTGTTAACCTCTAAACTTCGTATCTCTCAACTTGAAAGCCTGTAGCTGTCACAAAATGTGCTACTTTCTGGTATTCCAGTAAGTAGCACAAAATTATTTCCAGATTATCCTCTACATCCATGCCAAATTTCATTGAGATCTGTTCAGTAGTTTAGGTTAAAAACTCTAACAAACATCTATCCATCTATAATTTAGTATTTACTAGCTTTCGCCCGCGACTCCGTCCGCGTGGTATTAAAAAAAAAAACAAAAATAAAAAACCCTATGTGTTCTTCCATACTCTGCTCTACATCTATGCCAAATTTCATTCAGATCCGTTCAGCCGTTTAGGCTACAAACTCTAACAAACATCCATCCATCTAAACTTTCGCAGTTATAATATTAGTTAGATAATATTAGTAAGATTATAACAATGACAATTCGCATGCGCTCGATATCGATTAGTCGTAATGTCCGGACATTTGCATATTTTATCTCTGTCCATGTTATAGCGGTTTACATTGACTACGTTGTCTATAGTTAGACGATTGTAAATTGCTGAGATTAACTTGAATTTGAAGCAATGATAGCTAACTGTTAAAGATACCGACCGTAATAAATGACGTCATAGTTTAAAACGAATGTTAATGTATATCTATACTTCTATACTATTACAATAAACACACTTCTTTGTTGCTTAAGATGTTAGCAATTACAGCATATTTCTGAATAATTTTTTTTAATAAAAAGCCATACACTTACGTCACGCTTTAGGCTATATATTTTCGCCACTAAACTTAGGGGGTTAATATTTTGGATAAAAACCCTAATGTGGGAGACCATAAGTTGCTGCCAACATCAAGGAAGCAAGGTTGTCATCGTCATGTCATTTTGACATTTGCAATTGATAATTTGACACATGTAAACAACAAAATAAAATTTTCATAATTTTATGCGGATGAAGTCGCACGGGAACAGCTAGTTGTGAATACAAGTGTATTTTATAATTAGGTAAGTGGTTAAATTATTATGAATATTTAAGGGTAATGACGTATTACTTGACAGGAAATTTCAATATTCTCTATGTTACTTTTATGAGTTAAAATAGACAAGTAAATCTGACCGCAACAGGATACGAGTTACTATACCGTATTAGGTTATTAAACGACATATTTCCGCAATAGACTTCCGATACATGTTAATAGACGAGGTTATTAAATTTTATTACAAAATAAAAAATATCTCAGATAAAACAATATCAAATGCGGTTCTTGAAAAATAGATATATGCCGACTACACTTTTCAGAAACTATATCAAATCTATCTAAACAAACTTATCTTTATAAGGCTCTTATCACTTATTTCAAAATTTAATTTGATGTAATGATTGTGTCGATTAAAATGCTAAAACTTTTACAGCCTTACAAATAAACACGATATAAAGTTAAACATAGCAAAATTTGTACTAATATTTGCTTATACTCAGTTTATTCCTAAGGTTAACTTTATAAAAATAAATAAATAAAATAAAACACTTTTATTTTTATACCGCGTTTATTTTTAAGGCTATTAAACTATATTGTTAACTAGTGTCATGTATGAATCTTATATCTATTGAATTCCGCTATACATGCGTAAATAAACCTCCTGATAAACCTTCTTCTCTCGTTCACCACTCCTTATAAAGTAAATTATTTTCCAGGGTCTCGTCGTCGCGCCGGCGGTAGGGCTGCGGCGCTCCGTCGGGCGCCTTCGGACTCTGACTGCTCGGGCGAGACCGCCTCGCTGTCCGCGGACAGTGCAGAGCGCGCGCCCCGGGCTCCGCCCCAGCCCGCACGACAGACCAAGTCTAGAGGGTGAGTAATTTTGGTTTTGATTCGTATATCCGAGTTGTGAAGAGTACACCTGGTAGACCTAGAAAGAGTTGCATGGATTGCGTGAAATGTGACATGATTAAGGGAGTGATGACTGAGATGACGGATGATAGAGTTATCTGTTGTGCTGACCCTACAAGAGTAGAATAGGGGGGGACAATGATGACTTGTAGATCTTTCAATGTAGTATTCAACGATTTCAAATGAAATTTTGTAAGCAACTAGTACCTGTCAATTACGTAAATAAGGAATTTTGGTCCTCAACACAGAAGTCGTCGTCGCGGTAGCGAATGGGAGGTTCTAGAAGGACTTAAAGATGGCCAGCGGTTTGAAAAGCGACCCGAAGTCTTCAACGGCTATCTGCATAAGAAAAGGAAATGGCCGCTGAAAGGATGGCACAAGGTATGTTTTGATCCAGGCCTTTTGGGCATCTCAAATAGCGGCATTAGTAGGCTATGGAACGGCCATAAGTGGTAAATCAAGACCACACAGCAAAATTAACAGCCTGTCCCACCACTGATAGAGGCTCAGATAGCTTAAAAATGACGTCACTGTCAGATCAAAATTCGATATTTCCATCAACTTTTTACACGTTGGATTGATATCTGACAATTTACAATTTGGTAGGACAGGCCCTAAGTCTGTGATGAAATAATTTTGAGTCTTGTCTCATTAATTTGTGCCGATAACTAAATTCTAGTCTCTATATCCCTTCGATAAAGGAAATGTCGTATGAAAAAGCGAAATATCTTTTTTCTAAGTGTCTCACCAGTAAGTATAGGCAACGAATTTGCAATTGCTAATGTCTATGGGTAATATGATAATTTAGAGAATTCAGATGGTCGCTAGCATGCCATCTAATAATGAAGAAATCTTTATATTTTAACCCAGATATGATATACTAGCTTTCGCCCGCGACTTCGTCCGCGTGGAATTAAAAAAAAACAAACGTGAGTAGCCTATGTGTTCGTCCAGACTATCTTCTACGTCTATACCTAATTTCATCGAGGTCTGTGCAGCGGTTTAGACTACAAATTCTTACAAAAATCCATCCATTTAAACTTTCGAATTTTTAATATTAGTA